CGGATATTGTTTTTTTATCGTGATAATAAGTGCATGCACTTGTTTTGAAAAAAAATTGGAGAACTGGGAATTCGAACGGCGGGTGCTTATGCTACCCATCAAATAAAAATTAGGTGCCTGAAAATTTGTTTCGAAACAAATGATTCAGCTTTATATCCACATCGACCCTCGGCATGATGGTTGAAGGCAAATGCAAGTTCATACCAAAATATCGTTAACAACAATCCAACTTGCGGACGACAAGGTAGTACAACTACCAATACCAAACTAACTTATAATTTTTTTACTCCTGGCCCTAGTGTTCGTCTGGTAGAAAATCTTGCAGAGGACCAGCTCCCACTCCTTCTCTTGCTCCAGGTCCCCGAGGTGGTACTGGTGCATCACCCAGTTGGTCCTCTGCTGGTCGAAGTTTTTGTTGGTGTGCAGCACCAGAACCTTTTTTGCTGCCCGTCTGCCGGCTGTTGACCATCACCGGCAATGTATTGTCGGTCTTGTGCCACATCGCGTGCATGCCGCACTCCGACTGTATCTTGCGACGCGTCCACGCGCCCCTTTTGAACGCCCTGGAATTGCGCTGGAAGAAATGCTTCCTTAGGCCACTCAGTGTGATACCTGCAGTATTGTGGAATACAGGTTTTAGTGTACATAGTTGGCATTTTCATAACATCTTTGGCATGTTGCAGTCACTTGTTTCACTTTTTATTAACTGTCAAATTGTAATTGCTTCACCAGGTCTGCGTCTAAAAAGAAAAATAGAGCTATAAACAAAGGAATATGTTTGTACAAGTAGACGGCCGATCGGTGTCTTACCTGGAAGTTTTTCAGGTTGGGTGTAACATATGCCGTGCTCGCTGTCGATGGTTGGTATGAACAAACCGATGAGAGACTGAAATCTCACGCTGTCAGCACTCACTTTGGCCTCAAGGTGCTCGATCAGCTCCTGATCTGTGGGATCGAACTTGACGCCAGCCGGCAGCACGGGCCAATCCTTCTTCGACTTGCATCGGTAATTCCAGTTATATGATACTCAATGTATGATCAATTGACTGTTTTAAGTGAATGGTGAAAGATTTTGACAGATAAGTGGTACTCCAAATCTGAAGTCCAGAATACCCGAACACGCCGCCGGGATTCTTGTGTCACCTCACGCGCAACGTGTTGTCACGTCAATTCAATGTGTGGACATGATGAATAATTTGACCGACGTATACTAATACTGCTACTGTACTACTTACTAGTCGTATTTAGTGTCAAAATTTATACATAGGTTTAACTAACAAGTACGCACTTGAAGCCTAACTAATATATATATATATATAGGAAAAAGAAAACCTATGAAACTTCACTGGGGTGGTTGCAATCATGAGCGCATACTCGTGTTGGGATCTGGTCCCCTTTCCTTACCTTGTTTGCATTTTCGTCTTATAAGTCATTTGATTGTTATTTCCTCTTATAGAGGAAGAAGGACCACACTTGCTGCATGTGAATAGTAGTGCGCAACACTAGGGCAAGGACCACCCTGCATCTAGCTCGAAGGTTCCAGAATGAATTTTGGGAACTGTCTGCAGAAGGTTTGAACTTTTCCAAACCTTACGTTTTCTCCCTGACGTTTTATTCTTTTGTAGCATCTCGTTTTAGCAGGCCATTTTCGCATGTACGTTTCTGTCCGTGCTGGCCTCAGTCACGCTCATAATGTTTTTTAATGGGCTAGGTCTGAGACATTACATCAGAAGTGAAATATGTGTAGAAGAATGGTAATAAAAAAAAGCGGTGCACACGCAGCTTCTCCACCATGGCCCCGTTTTGCTGTACCGTGAGATGCACGGCTAGTGTGGCTACCATATACACCAGAATCCCATCGGCATGCCAGAATCGGCTAGCAAAGTTATTTGAGTGTGTTGCAATACTCTTAAGCTCTAGAGTCAAACATGTATCGCAGCACCACAATACCAACACGCTAGAACAACCTTTTTTTTAAATTCGGTTCAGAGTAACCTGGCACACATGCACCAACTGTAATTTCAAGTGCGTCGTGTTGACTGCTCGCATATTAACATACTTGCATACTCCCTTTGTAAACTAATGTAAGAGCGTTTAAATCACTATTTTAGTATTCTAAATGTTTTTATATTAGTTTACGGAGGGAGTACTTATGGAGTTGCATGATAGCTCAATCCCAAACCAAGAGCATGTCCCAATAAATCTGCAAGCAGCGCCATGCTACAGTTTTTTTCATTCGAGACATTTAGGCCTTGTTGCCTTCGTGGGACTCCATCTGTGTTGATAGCAGCCATAGCCCATTTGATGCAGGTTCTATGGGCTCAGAACTGGGCCATTTTCCACTAATAATATGTTGTAATCTATGTTTTCCCCTAATTTAGATGACCTGCACGATTCCATATCCTAATCGTTGTGCAAAGGTACCAGTCCTGCGCCGGCCAGCCCTGCCCAGGCCAGCGTTATTCATCGTCATGGATACGACATGATGTATGCTGCTATGGTCTGATAACGTGCAAGGGCACGCCATTAGTTAAACGGAAGCCATCAAACCAGGGCACGCGTCTGAACGCCACGTACATAAGACAGAGGTCACCACGCGGGCTCGAATTAGGTATTGTGTCGGTATCAATGACACACATATGTGTATTCTGAACCTTACCTTTGACAATTAAAGGCATTTCTGGCGTTTTGGTTGCACTAGCCGATAGCGAACCGCGTCTGTTGCACACATACAAGTGGATCAGCAAAATCAACAACACTACGCAGCACAGGGAAGCAGTGAAACATGTTTCATCTACTTTAAGAAGACAAATTTTCGACCAAAGCTAGGGGCAACACCACGCAACACGGGCCGTCAACTAACAACATCATTTTATCTAAAAAAACTAACAACATCATCCATCTAGGTTAAGGATACAAAGATGGTAGGGACACGGGGCTCGTGCTCGGGGGGGACAAGCTTGGGACCCGGGGCAGGTCGGAGCTTCGGCTCTGGGTAGGCGATGGTGGGCTCGTTCCGGGTGGTTCCCACGAGCCATGGGGTCCCTCTTCTCGTGGGTACGGTGGTTGGTGGCGGTGGTCGGGCCATCGCTGCTTTGTCTGACAGATTGGTGCCAGAGGCCACACGCATGGCTTCGTGAGTCCATGTTCGGCGGCTGCCGCCGGTAGCCACGGGGTTGTGCCCCCCCCGGTCCACCTGGACTGGCTGGGCATGGAGGCATGGGCGCCTCCTACTGTGGAGGTGCCAATCCAGACCCTATGGCTAATGCCGGACTCGGCGTCCGATGCACGAAGATGAACTCACGCAAGAGGAGGTCGCTATTTGGTTAGAAGTTTTTGTGCGTCACAACCACAAGCACAGATAGGAGTATGAAATTTCTTTAGTGCACCAGCAGCCGGGAGGCGCACACAGATGAAATCTTGCGGTAATTACATGCAGGTGGACGGTGGCGTTAGTGACCGAGACGGTGGAACGACATTAACTCTGTTCACACTTTTGGCTGCTTTCCACTGGCCTTTCCGGCTGCAAAAACGAGTTCATCAAACAGCAGTTCATTTACTGTCCAAACGGTGCCGAACCGCGTTCATTTAGCTAGACGAAAATAGCAAGTTTTGCATGCCCCGGCCAGCACAATGCAGCTCAGAACTTTTAGTAAATGACTCCACCAGCTAATGCAGAAATTTGCCCAAAGTAGCTCCTGGCGCGCACTGCCCGGTTAGAAAGGTACAGCAGCCTTGGATCCGTATACGCCTGAAAAGTCACGCCCTAGCTTGCCATTCCGGGACTACGCCTTTCAAAAGGTTCGGCCAGGCTTTCCTCTTGTGTCCTGGCGAAATTCAACAAATCATAAAAGCAGAATCTTATCCACCCAAAGGTGCGGATCTCAGCGCCCATGAACGGTTCCGATAGCCACCCCTCTAGCTAGTGTGGATAGCAAATCCATCCTCTCTATATATATATGTGTGTGTGAAATTGTGGATATCAAAACGTACTGTGGTCACAACCATCGCACGCGTCCACGCGCACGCTGAGATCCGTGCTCAGATTTGCTGGCCTAAAAGTGTGGCGGGATTCTTTGATTTTCTGCGCGCCTCCCGCCTGGTTTTCTTCTGCCACGGTGCAGTCTTTCCTGGCTCGGTCAGAGTGGAAGGCTGGCAGCGTACCAGCGTGCAGGAGGGGGTCACGAGCGCTACCAAGTGGAACCTCAGCCCGCAACGGAATATTTTCTCGGAACGGATTCCACGATCGAGACCACAGTTGTTGCGCACCCCATCCTTTACTCTGTCTATCTCTTCCTCCTCTGCCTGCTTCCTCCGGACTGAGATCCGGTGCCTTGACACACAAAAGGCACATGTGAATAGTGCAATGCCTTGAGCTTTCAGCCGCTAGATCGGAAATCAAGGTTCCAGATTTCAGTGAACAGTACTCCGCGCTACAATGTGTTAGTCATGTAGCGATTGTCCTGTAGCAGACTTCCTGTAGCGATGCACTGTAGCAGACTTCTCGATGTTCATCGGACCGTTGCTTGTAGATCCAACGGTCAGGAGATGCCCTCAAGGCACAATACTGTTCATCCGTGCCTTGTGTGTGTCAAGGCACCGGATGTCAGTCCGCTTCCTCCACCTCCAGTCTTCTGGAGCACCAAAGCCACCACGCGAGGCCCCACCATCCTCACGGAGATGAGCCCGACGGACCGGATCCAGCCTCCTCCACCGGGAGCGGCGACAACCTCCACCGAGATCTGCGTGGGGAGGCCGGAGTTCTCGACGGGCAGGAGCACTCGCCGACGTGCTCCTTCTCCTCGTCTGTCACCTCCGTCGAGAGCCGCGTGACTGTCGGCTTCGAGGGCGCGGTTGCAGCCCATCCATGGTGTTCGTCTAGTCCCTTGCGACGGACACCACCAAGTCGGCGAGCGTGGGATCCACAAGACACCATGGACTCCCCGTCACAGTCCTGGTGGACCGATGGATGAGGCAGCTAGCCCGAGGCGAGCTGGACGATGTTCCACCATGGTGTAGACAGCCAACACGCGTGTAGACAGCGCCGTTTCACCATGGTGTTCGTCGCCGCCGTCAATGGCCTTCGGCCTCGATCTGCATGTTGGCTGGATACGGCGTGGTGGGGAGGAGGTGAGCTGGTCGTGGTGGGGAGGAGGAGCAGCTGTGGCAAGGAGAGATTGCCACTGGGAATGCAAACCGCAATGGAATCCATCCGCATCGACGTTGTTGAAATAGAAGTTGGCCCTGCGGTGAGCTTACTGCAGTTCTCTTCCCCCGCGCGGCACATCCTTCTTGCAATGTTTTTGATGATCTGTGATCCTGGAGTAACCAGTAGAATTAGATGGTTGGATTCCCACACCTGAATTAGATGGATGCCTAGTAGAATTAGATGGATAGATTCTTACACCTGAATTTTGATTATGTTGCGGTGTTGCCGAGCTTCCCTCTTCTTGCTTTGTTGCTACAAACATAACCTCCTTGTTTTGTACCTTTTTAGAGAGATGTTTTTGCGATGTTTTTAGAGAGATTGTTGTTGTGATATAAAAATTATTTGACCCATGTTTTTAGTGCAGACAAAAGCACATCCACGGACCATGGCGAAATTTTGCAGACGCTAAACCAGGAGAGTTATAGCTTTTTTTGTCTAAACTTCTCTCTTTTATGTTCACGAGACTGGATGCTAAATTGTAGATCTAATTGTTTTTGTTTTTTCAGAACGCTTACATCTAATTGTTTGTACAGGACTTTGCAACTCACCTAACCGAACTTTGATATTTACAATATTCGAAAACACTTTTAACTTCTGAAATCGTGATGATTGTGCTCGTGCACTGAGTTTCAATCTTCTGAAAGTTGACTAAATCTCTGATGGACATTTTGAGCTCATTTTCTGGTCATGGCTGAAACAATTTTAACTTCTGATTTAGGTAATTTTGGGGAGATCTAAATCTGAATGAATATTGTAAGTGAAACATTGAAGAAACTGTTATCTGAATGAACCATGTTGACTTTAACCTCAATTGCCCATGTTATGTGAAGGAACGCACATCCTTTTAGATCTACACACATCTTCTCTGAATATGATGCAAGTTATTTGACTATGATGCACTTGTACTTCACAAATGACTAGTGCTGAATTTCATCAACGGAACTTTCTGTGACGATTTCTGGATCTTGGATTAATATTTTTTTATCGGTGTGCCATGGTCTTGGCCTCGGTTACGAGATTTTAACTGCTCTGGCTACCGGACGTCGCATGGGAGAGAATGACACACTGCGTAAAGCCACACACAGAAAGGTTGAGACTGCATTTTCCTAAGCATGTGTCCATTTGCACCCAAACGGATATACGCGGACGATTTGAGATTGTGTATTACAATTTTCCTAAGCAAAACTCAAATGGTTGGTCGTTCCTAGCCTTGTCATCGCCGCTCCGAATGCACTTTTTAGAGCCAGCTTGTGAATCTTTGCCGTTGTTCAGAGACGCGGCCACACGCGCGTGCGCGCGCACACACACACACACACAGAAGCCTTCTCCTACCTCGCACCTGTGGAGCCTTCTGCCTCAAGTCTTTTCAATCTTCTCTGAAAAAACTCTCTTCGATCCTTCCATGTGAAATATTTTGAAGATTCAGTTCCTTCAGTTTTGTTAAAGCAACTCATACAAGTGATGCGTCATATGCATCGGTCCCACCCATCAGACAACCTCCTTTCTCCTACTTGAGAAATGAAACGGTGTGGAGCATGTCAGATGAATGAATTTTTTGTGCGGTGTGTACCAACTCTCTGATATGCTTATCCACTCCAACTCCAATCCATGGCTCCTCTCTCCAAAATATCCACCGACTGGATCCAGCCGGCGGCGCTGCGCTCCTGCCCATCCCTCCCCAGTACTACTGTCATCTTCTTCCCAAGCTCCACCATCGCTGTCCTCTACACGCAAGCGCTCGCTTCACCACACACACGCGGGAGGCCGAGCCTACCCAGCCAGGACACGAAGGAGAAGCAGCACGCCGCCCTAGCATCCTCCGTGCCAGCGGGCCATTGGGCGGTACATCGAGCGATGGCGACCACCGCCGTCGTCCCGGGATCGACCCATGTGTGGAGCATGGGCAACAAGGGTCATCAGATGCGTCATGATCCAGGGCATGAGTTCTTCAATCCGCCCTACCCTACCAAGATTTGTAGCTGGAGTATTAGCTGGAGTTTGAGGAGGAGGTGACCTGCAGGAGGAAGCAAAGGTCTTCACGGGCAGGAGTACTCGCCGTCGTGCTCTGCTCCTTTGCTTCGAGCACGAGGCTGCAGCCTCTACGTTGATGTCGTCCTGCCGCTCCTGAACAACCTCCGATGAAGAGGCAGGGGATAGGGGCATGTTACCCACCATGGAGGCCAAGACCTATACCAATAAAATATCACAGAAACTGCATATGTGCATGTTTGGAACCGTGTTATGTTTTAAATTGCGCAGTTACGGTTCCAGAATTTTATATCTAGCGGTTGCGAGGAATAGAATATCCTAGGATAGCATTAAAAAGAAGAAAATGTCTTGGGCGAGATAAAACGGGCTCCATTACGTGTGTGACAACAAAAGGTCCGGAACCATTCGCTGGTGGCACGTGAGCTAGGTATGGACCAGCCTGCCTGATAGGAACAGTGGCGGTCAGCCTTTGGTCAGGGTATGATAGTGTTTGAGATGTGAAATAAATCACTGCAAGAGAGACAAAAGGTACCTGACCCCACTAACGGTTCGAATCTTGATGCAGCTCGCAAAGGTTCTGATAGTTATTACTACCCGAGTACGTTCTGATAGTCATTATCGGTACATCCTACCCAGATGAGTTAGGATGTACTTGATCCCAAGAAGGTATCTATCCTTCAAACCAGAGGAGTGCTTTAAACTAACAACAGTACATAATATCCAACAAAAGAGGGTCGTGCTACAGCAGCAGAATTCATGGCTCAGTCTAGATATCAGCACGAATCAAGTTGTGCATATTTGCTGTTGGCATAAACCACATCGCCGCATGTCGGGTTTGCAAAAGCCATCCATCGCAGGAAGCTTGATGCCTTTCACACACTGGAAATTATCTGGCAACAAGCTATATCGACGAATCTCTAGATATGGTGATTCATGAAACCCATGGTATGATGTGTAAACACAGCCCCCCCTCGCGAATGGAAGTTGCATAGCACAGTAATCATCGCCGGTGATATGATCGATGATTGGTTGGATGATCGGATAATTGAGCCCGAGGAACAAGGAGTGGTTGCCGAGGCTGTAAACCCGCCTCCAGTTGAATACGCCTGGCTCAACGAAGCTGGGATCTTTCTCGAACACGAAGCAACCATAGCCATCAATGTCACGAACGCCCCACACATTGTACTGCATGTGGTTTGATATGGTTTGGTCAATTTGGTACGTGCGAATGAGCATCAAATGACCGCCGTCAGCTGAACGAGCGATAAACCACCATCCATCGGCTGGTATGATTCCAGGTCCTGGAATCATGAAGGCCAGCGCATTTGCGTCTGCTGCAACAATTCAAATTGGAGACCAAAAGGACAAAAATAAACAATCATGTTCAGAGTATGTGTGGAATTAAGATTATTATAACAGTGACACATATCATAGACAGAGAATTGCAATGTCGTGGTCATAATCATATCCCAAGTTAAAAAAATAAGCCAATGGCTTTCATATTCTAGCAATATGTCATGCTTCAAACATCATGTTCTACAGAGGAAAACAGCTATGACATCGTCTACTCATATTCTACCATAGCACTTACTACTACTGTTCTCATATCAACTCTAAGCAATAACATGCGTTGTTATAAAAATCTTGTAAATGAGAGTAACATATAGCAATCATGATGTTATGCTCATAATATGTATTCTAACAATCATTAGATGCCAATTGTTCTCATATCAACTCTAACAATAACATGTGTGGTCATAAAAATCTAGGAAATGAGAGGAATATATAGCAATGATGTGGTTATAGACATGCTATGCATTCTAAATTTGTAACAAATGAACAGGCAGTCGTATTCATAAGGTAAAGATGAGATGAGATAGAACAATTACACGACGATAGATTCCACCAATATAGGTAGCCAATCTGTGCGTCGACCGTGTAAACGATGCCATCGTGCACTATAGCATCAGACAAAAATGTTTCCTCAACAGGATTGATGATGAGCCATAACCATGTATGGCGACCGGATTCCAGATAGACTAATCCCTTGTTGAACAAGGCAATGAGCTTGTAATCCATGTAGTCTTCTGATGATGTGGGCACTTCGCAGATTACAACTTTCTGCAAATAGAGGTCGAGCCAAAAGCTTGACGCGTCTCGTGCGTAGTAGGCAGGAGTGTCCGGCAGGCCGCGAGGCTCGATGGCGGCGATATCCAATGATGGAAGGGTGATCTCTCGCTAGGTGTAGATATCCACGAGACGCCATGGACTACCGGTGTGGTGGATGAGGACGATCCAGTTGGCCTTCATGCCCGCCCAGTAGTGGCCGCGCATGAAGGACATGTGGACGGGTAGTGGTAGCATGTCGAGGGGCACCACGGCAACCTCCGTAGGATCGTCAAGTCGGTGTCTGGGCCACCTGCGAGGATCGGGCATCAGCAAGCAGGGTGTCTTGAAAAGAGCCGGCCGGTTGCAGACGAGTAGATGGTACAAAGACACTAAGTATGCGGCCAGACGGACGGTGCTGAGTAGGTCCATACGACTACAGATCTGATCCAAGAGAACATCGGGGAGGGAATTCCAATCGCGGCTCTGCGTGTCAGTCAGTTCTACCATTGGGGTTTTCGGTGCCTGCGAGCCAGCAGGGAAGTGGATTCGGGCGGGCGAGCGAAGAAGCTTCTCCTCGTGTGGCCGAGCAGTGAGCGGGGGGATATGGTACGCGCGAGCTACCAAGGAAGATGGCGCGGGCGGGCGAGCAGTGAGCGGGGGTAAATGGTGTGCGGCCGACGATGGGGAAGAGAGGAGGAAGAAGAAGAGAGGAGGAAGAAGAAGAGACTAGTTGAATAGTTCTCTCTGACCGAGATGTACACATGGACGCACGCAACACTCACGCACCCATGCGGCACATAGCACACGACGCAACACACACGCTCACGCTCAAGTGCTCAACCTACTCCCTACGTCCGTGAAAGACTGTACATTTAGAGATTTACACATTGACCAGGGCATAATTAACGCCCAGAAGTAGCAGACTTATGTGTGCATGCGATCATTGAGATAAGAAGATTAAATGAAGGTCGTTGCATGCTGTAATTAAGGATAGACATGTAGCCTATACCTACAGCACAAGTTGGTGCATTAGTCAATCAATATCGATTTAGATTA